TAGAGCTTCAGAAAGCCTGTCAGTATTCTATGTCGCTCCTCTTAACATGAGGATTTATACATTATGATTCATCGTTAACGGCTGAGCCCATAACTCGTGTGCCGCACAGGGGACCCCATATTAACCTGATGATGAGCTTTTGCTAACGTCTTGCATTAGTTCACAAAGTCAGTGACGATCTTGTTTGGACCTTTATGAGTGCCCCCCGAGGCTGGTCACGAGGCTTTACTATCAGGTCTACAACTCCGCCAACCATTGCCTTGAACCTGATCCCACTGAGACATCTCCACGGGTCAGACCTCACACTTGCAGAGCGTTGTGCGATCCAATGGTTCTTTGGGAAGACGGTGAGACTGATTACTTTGGAAGAATGCTGTATGATGAGACCTACTGACCTTTCATTTTCGTAGATCCTACACGAGCTTGCTCATGCAATAGTGGAGCTTCGGTATCCAGGACTCATTGGAGAACCTGTAAGCCTCGCGTCGTGTCTACTCCCATCAAAGAATTACGACTAAGTCAGAGAAAACACACTACAGTTCTGGGATTTTGAGCCCGTTGCCGAGATAGGGCAAGCCTTCGAAGCTAGGATCTTCGGTGGGAGATTGGGGTCAACGCGTAAGAACTCCATGCTTTACTTGGTGTAATTGTATACAAGGCCTCAAAAGGCTACGAATTGCAGATTGTTTGCTTTTTTCAATATACGCAGGCGTTAACAGCAACAGCCATCGTCGGTGACAACATACCAACCGCATCATCGTTGACAAAATTCCCTTACCTTGGAGGTGGAAAACAGATTGCCTCACACCCAGCCTTGCGACATGGCGCAAAGGTAGAGAGAGAACACATAGCAGCAGGTTATTTTTCTTCCATGCTTTCCGAGCATTTCTGGGCTGATGATGGCGTCGCGAGGAAGAGCGACCGGTACTGTATGCATTGTTTCTACCCGAACCCATCCATCTTACTTCCCACCACGAAAAAGACAAACGTATTGAGAAGGGTCAAAGGAGTAGATGATCATCTCGTTGCTCGCATGCCTAAATGTACAAACGCATTGCTCATTTTTATTGATATCACCTTTCGACTTAGTTCACCGCAATACTATGCTCTTTTCGGAGACTTGCATTAATCGTCGATGGCCATTCCAAGACGTCATAACGGATGTCCAACTTGATGAAACAGATGAAGATGATTGGACCCAACTGGATAGAAAAATTTTGAAAGCATGGGAGGATCAACATAAGCAATGGCGTCTGGAGCGTAAAAACTGGTACACCGGAGAATTGAGACGTTGGGCATCCACCCCTGTAGGTAATAAACTTTGTATAACACCATTCCATTTTACAAGCTCAGATTCCTACGGCTACTCAGGCTAATTCGCATTTCAAAGTGGGGATACACGGTTGAGGTCCGACGTGCGCTGGAAGGTTTTGGTCGAGCCTTCGCAGCAAAGAATGAAGCAGATTGCAGAAACTGCGCCGTCATCATGGGTGTTAACCATTCTACAAGTAAAATGTATTGGGCAGATAGGCAAAGATTTCTCAACGGAATGCCAACACGGACTTCGCCATCAAGTGAATGGGTCTTCCATGCAATCGGTATGTCTGTGATGCCCGTAGGCTGTTGGTAAAGGGAACTTCAGGCGACTTGTCATGAAACTGACATATCATATATGAATAGGGCTACTAATGCTAGCGGCATTACCCGTCAGGTTCAAGCGCGTTAACATCACTAATGCAGACTACATACGATGTGTATGGACCCCATCTTCAGGCGCAACAAAGAGAGGAGGGAAGCGGTCAGGCACCCTGAGACCGGGGAAAACCCAGACTATCATGCCCAGTAAATTTTTCGACCCCTTCAATGAGGGTTCTCCTAGCCGCGCACCAGGCCTTTCACAAGAACGCAGTCCGACTCAAATCGAGTTTTTGGATTTACTAGACAAGATGCTGGACTGGATCAAGGAACGAGGATCCCTTATATCTGGTCCTTGGTATCGTCGGATTCTCCATGTGTCGGAATCTCTTCGACTTCAACGGTTCGAGTTCGAAGCTAGTTATCCTAACGACTATCTAAGCCGATATGCTACAATGTGGGAGTTTACTTCTCCGGACTATAACCCCGAAGATCTTGACTGGATACGGTGGAATCCTGATTCGGCGCAGTGGGATCATTTCCCCCAGAGACCGCCGTGATCACTTGATCGGCGCCATTCCAAAGCTATTGCGGGGAGTAAGAATGGAACTATTCGTAACTTTCGGGGTCTCGTCCTCGAATGACATTTGTGTTTATAAGTCAATCATAGACGTTATTGCAGTTTCAAACGCCATATCGTCTTCACGGTCGTGCAACCCCTTATTGAAACTTTCAACTTTAGAAAATGCAGGAGCTATGACAGCGAAGAGAAGTAGTGAAGATTCATTTGATACGCATCATATAATTCAGTACACATGGCTCCGGGTGTGTAATTAGACTCATGATACGATGATAATCTGTAATAAAACCGTCCCCATAGAGGTTGCTATATACCATCCACTGCTTGAATGGTGGCATTTCTTGCCATGCTTCCATTTGTCATTACGAATCTACTTATCGTCCAGAATTTCACCACTTCTTCTCATGATCAGGTGTTGACGGCTAGGAAACGTCACGAGGCTCTGCACTCGGCGAAACAACTGAAACTCCATTCCCTCGATGTGAACGAGCACAAAGACAAAGACAAACGCGAAGAGGAGCCCGAGAATGTGAACTGACAGTAGGTTTCTACAGCAAGTAGCATACGCGCGACGCCAAAGCCCGAGCAACATGGAATATGGTTTTGTTGTAGAGGTGGAATGTGTCTTTTGTCGCTATTTGACCCTGCTTATCAAATAAGAGGCACTATGAGTTTCAATCAACTTCCTTCTTTCGAGTGTGAAACCCTAGGCTTCAGTACCATTACAAGCTTAAAGTACAGCCTCAGTAAGTAACACTACTCCAGTGTTTCAGGTGCATGGAAAGGGGATGTTCTCCCCAGACCCCTATTCAAGTTTGGCTTGAATGTCATACTCCCGTACGTCCACCATGGTAGGCGGTATGGTTCTCGCCTGTGTTCCGGATCAACGAAACCTCTCAGACAGAAGAGACAGCATGCTACGATTGATAGTAGCGGAATTACGACAGCCGCGGCTATCATCGCAGCCTCCTTATCAGTCGCCATTGTCGCAGGCGAACTCCTCGGCAGTACCTTGCACACGGGCGATCTTGGTCGCGTTCCGCTTTGACAACTTGCGTAAAGTACTCAGCCCGCCTGCTACGCGATTGTGCAGAGCGACGTGATTTTCGAGAGATAGATGGATCGTGTGGAGATGCTCCGTTTTGGTGGTTTCTACGGGGTGTACAAAAATTCGCGGAGCTCAGGGAGAAAGCAGGAGTGCATTTCCGATCAAGAGTGTTTCGGCGCAAAGATAACTAGAGCACCAGCTCAACTGACTTAGCGGAACGGTGAAAATATGGGAGCGTACATGAAGGCAAGTTACGTCACATAATCCCATCATATCACCATATCATGATGTGGGCGTGACTGTCTGAGCCTACGCTTGGTAGAAAAGTTGCGGGTGTCGAAGAAAGAATGTTATGGTCGAGATAGAATGTGTCGAATTTTCTCCTCTTCGTTGACTTGATGAATATGATTTCTGCGATTCTTCTATCTGTGCGTTTCGAGCAGCATACAATATATAGGTATAGCCTTCTTACCACTATTTAGGCTCCTTCAGCCCGTAACACGACAGAACATCCTGCGCATCGCGAACACTATCTAATCTTTGTACGCATCTCATCAAGTAGACTACGTATTTGATTGCTACCTAGGTAGCTTGGCGCACTCGAGATACGTCTGCGAGAATCTGCGTCATGCCTGATATCGCAATACGTTCGAATCGCGATTCTGAAAGTTGACATCAGTCCTTACTGGACGTGTTTTCTCCTTAGATATCGCCGAGTCACAATTAAGCAAGGATAGTGGCCCCATGCCCCTTGTAGGAACAGCATCATGAGGTACGAATTGTGTCTTATTGGCAATGCACCCATTGAGTACACCCTTTACTATGATATTCCGGGCATCCTGAATCCACCATTCCAGGGGCTCTTCTACTATAGTTCATTATCGCAAGATTACACCAAATGGAAGCCATTCATTACGCATCCCTACTGCGAACAAGAGCCTTGAAACTCTTATAGAATCTAGAGCGTAATCATTCCAACGCATCGTGTTGTTTTATTAACCATCCGCCTGCCTTCTTTGTGCACCCCACCAGGGGTTGTCTTTCCTCGCGACGTTTTGTTTCCAATGGGACCTTCATCCTGTAGTTGCTAGAAATATCGTACGTACCAAAAGTCCTTGACGGGATTTCTCTAACGAGCTTTCAAAAACAATGGCGAAACGCACCGTCGGCTCCAATCGTGCAGCTTTGGCTGCATATGGGTTCAGAAATTTGGAAGTTCGAAGCCGGAAGAATACAATGCATCAGTCTGTTCCTGGGCAGCGAGCTGTGTGGAATCAGAAGTCCAGACCCCGATACAGATCAACCAGGCACTCCAGTGTTGTGCCATGAAGCCGGAAACATCCGCTCAAGAACGCCGACAACTAGCGGAAATTCGAGATGGCAAATGGAGCTTCCTGTCAGATAATACGCACGAGACTGAGACACCGGAACCCTTGGAGCACGACGTTCTGATCCGGCGGATGGAAGCCGAGCAAAATCATTGGTGATGGGCGAAACCACTGCGTTTTCCTCCCATACAATCACTTCACTTACCATACGACCACAAACAACCCAGATTCAGGAATCCAGAGAAGCATCATGCGGAGACACACCTGCACCACAACATTTTCACGCTTTGAATTAGTATACCAAAATCCAAATGCAAGTGGAGTTGGAAAGGAAGGGGAAAGATAGTGGCTGCACATTCAAAAGGAGATCCAAAAAATCCGATTAAAGAGATGTACCAATGTAAACGCATGCGGTGAGTGCGGATCGAACGCACGACCTTCAGATTCCAGACGTGTGAATGAAGTGCTACTTCAGTCTGACGCTCTCCCAACTGAGCTATCCCCGCAAGTATTTGGCTGTGGGCATATGCTCAACTAATATGATATATATATCGACTCAACATAGGTCTGTCTTTACCTAATAGTTGACGCGCAGAACCAGTGGAGACTTGACGTTGTGGTCGCTGACTCGCAGACGGAGTTGGGCTTGCGATCATGTACGCAATTTGCCTGGTCGGCTCGATGCCTTTGTTTGGAATACATTGAATACATGGATCTATCGTGGCAGAGCGCGAAAGTAAATTAGTGGAATATTGCACACGATACAGAATACAGAGTTGGTAATTGTGTCCTGGAGAGAAGTTCGTCGGCGGCTAGAAGAACAACTTATGAGCGATCAGCATGTAATCTCCACTCCCACGGTAGCGGCAAGTTTGGACCATCATCTGGTTCCCTTCCTCTGCAGTGTGCACTTTCCACATGATTGTAGGGTGCCCGAGGGTGCCCTCGTTCAGTCTCTTGTCAACCGGGTTGCCGGCTCTACATCTATTGGTCAATACCAGCTTCTTCTGCCTTGCTTTGCTCAGGTTTCCCAAGTTTGCCTCTCGTCGTGATACCATTGTTGCATTTGGTGTGCCTTCAACTAGGTTCTACATGGATCGCCCTCTAATTACATATATTTCCCCTTCCTCCTGCTTGCCCGACCGGACCCTACCTATTTAATCCCAGGCACAGTCGCTCTGTCGGCGACACCGGATAGGTATCCTGCCCATTCCTGTGTTCATTGCAGTGTACTATCCATTGCATTCACAGTCTACTGGGGACTCATTTCCCACACGTCGGTGACAACCGTGACAACCGTGACCACGGGAGGGTACTTGTAAGAGGCCAATCTGCATAGTTCGTAGAAAGCCATTGCTACCTATCGGACACAGCATGCCGCTGCACTCAAGCCACTGCTTCAATTAAGTTCGTCACTCTGCCACTTATTGTAGTCTAACTCATTAATCATGAGACCCGCGGGGCTCGCCAGCCATACCCTCACCAACCCCACGAGTACAGACGGGAGTACCAACTTACTACATACCTAACAGCCACATTCGGAAAATCTTGCCAAGACGCAGCCTGCAGTAAGCCGCCTCAGGTCTAGGCCATTCGTTGTAGGGGCTGCCCATGACCTCATCGTCGCTGTCGCTATCGGACTAGCATCTCATTATCCGTCAGGTCCTGGACGGGCCGTTGAACTTTCCTCTTGACACCAAGAGATCGCCCCGGCTGTCGTGATTCAGCTTCGTCCACTTCAGACCGTCCGCCAGGCTCGACGGGGGGCTAGTCGAGGCAGTCGAGGCAGTTGAAAGGCTGGCGTTGTCCGAACGGAGAAGGACAAAGAGGGACAATCAAGGGCGACGGTACCTGGGCAACCCCGCTAATAGCCCCGCGCAACTCGCCGTGGCTTCCACCGTCCGACCCAACGCCTCAAGAGCCTGGCGCTCCGGCGTCAGAGCTGATGGCGATCTCTCCGAGTCTCAGGCTCAAACATCGTCAACCGTTGCTCGGCACCTGGTAGAGCCTGGAGGGCAGCATCCCAGCAAGAACGGCCGTCCGTCAGAAGCCTATCCACGACCGACACTCGCCTTCATACATTGGTTTTCTGTCGTTTCGCTCGTCTTGGTTCTCGTGAGTCCACTCTATATACCTGCTTCAGGTATACCTGACACCTTACACACTGCCTCGCCCACTACTGGAGGGAGAGAAGAGAACAACACCCTGAGCCATTTATTGTCATGCCCTTCTGTTTCCCAGCTTCCCATCACCCACATTATCCCAGTCAGGGCTTGGGCTCCCCGCAATACGACGTCGGCGCGCAAAAACCCATGGCTTGCATGCATGACATAACACCGCAGACTAGTCGTAGTTTCGGCGCCATTGCTAATCTGCCCCTCCGAATCTTTCCAGGCAGCCCAGCTTTTCCTCGCAGATATCAGAGTCCAATATTCTCATATATTTACTTCCCCCCCGGCCGTTGTTGCTGTTGACGGCGCCGTCTGCCAAAGCCCACAACCGTTTCCTACCGCCCCTCCGGTCTCGAAAGCACCCATCATGGCGACATCCCTTGCAGCGGAGGCGCAACGAGTCGTCTCCGGCTTTGAGTACAGCGACGACGACGTCAACAAGGGCGTCCACGAGTTTCTGCGCCAGATGAGTAAGACTGCCGGGCTCGTCTACCGGAGAGACTTCTCGAACCGAACACTTAGCTAACTTTCTGCCCATTCAGATGAGGGGTTGCAACAGGATGGCACCAGTATGAGCCAGATACCGACTTACGTCACGGGCGTACCTAATGGCACGGAGAAGGTGCGTATCGGAACTGCTTCCAGTGTTCACTCACATGCTGACAGCTTGAGAAGGGATTGTACCTCGCCGTCGATCTCGGAGGCACGAATTTTCGAGTCTGCTCCATCCACCTCAACGGAGACACCACCTTCAACCTCACATTCAGCAAAGTCGCGATCCCCAAGGAATTGATGGTCGCCAAGACAGCCAAGGATCTATTTGCCTTCCTGGCTAAGCAAATTGAGGAATTCTTGAAAGTACATCACTCTGATCACTTCGAGGCCCACATCCAGCGGCGACAGACGGTCGGCACTCCAGATGGGTATCGGGACGAAAGCATCTTCCGACTCGGATTCACCTTCTCCTTCCCCGTTCAACAGTTTGGCATCAACAAGGGCACGCTCATAAGATGGACCAAGGGTTTCGACATTGCTGATGCCGTAGGCAAAGACGTCTGCGCTCTACTACAGGAGGAGATCGACTTGCTTCACCTTCCTGTCAAAGTTGCGGCCCTGGTGAATGATACCGTCGGTACCCTCATGGCTCGATCCTACACATCGCCCGGAAAGACGGCGACTCTCCTCGGCGCCATTTTCGGAACGGGAACGAACGGTGCTTACGTCGAGAGAGTCACCAACATACAGAAGAATGTCGATGGCGAATACGACAAGTCGACAGGCGACATGGTCATCAACACAGAATGGGGATCATTCGACAACCAGTTGAATGTCCTACCCAACACACCCTATGATAAGGAATTAGACGAAAAGAGTGTCAACCCCGGTATCCAGATGTTCGAGAAGAGGGTATCTGGCATGTTCCTCGGCGAAATCGTCCGCCTCGCGGTGCTGGACCTGCACAAGAGCAGCAACACCACGCTCTTCAAGGACGAAAACTCCAGTACTAACGATTGGAGATCGACAACACATGTCGACGCGACTTCAAAATTGTTCGAGCAGTGGGGCCTTGACAGTTCACTCATGTCCATCGCGGCTTCTGACAGCACACCCGAGCTCTCGACGCTGCGACAGGAAATCGAAAGGCAGCTCCAGATCTACTCGCCTTCGCTCGAGGATGCCCAGGCCTTCAAAGACATCTCATATGCCGTCGGCCGACGCGCCGCGAGACTCAGTGCTGTGGCGCTGGGCGGTGTCGTGATCCAGAGTGGCAAGTTGAAGGAATCTTCCGAGGAGCCTATCGACATCGGCGTCGATGGCAGTCTAGTTGAGCACTACCCGTTCTTCCGGGATATGATCTACGAGACCTTCACTGCCATGAAGGAAATCGGCCCGGAAGGCGCGAAGCAGATTCGTATCGGTATTGCGAAAGACGGCAGTGGTGTCGGCGCCGCTCTCATTGCGCTAGTAGCCGCTGGCATGGAGAAGAAAGGCGTCGTGGACTACTTGAGCGCCATCAAGAACGACGCAGCACAAAAGGTTGCTGGTGCGCTGGGGTCGGCGGGCCAGAGTACGACCTTGGCCTAGGAGCCCGTACATTGCCTACAAGCGACTTTGCTAGTATTGTGTCACGTATGGTTCTGGGCGATGGTGTGGTACTACCTAGGCTGATGATTGGCACCTGTGCTGAGAGGTATAGATTAATTGTTGGACTATGCCTACACAATGATGATTGTGGTGATTGTGGGATCGGAGGAATGTGGGACCAAGTATCCTATTAATCAGGGTTCATGACGACCCGACGTTTTGCATCTCTAGACCTCCTAAGAACTATACGCCTCCCAAGAACTATACGAACGAAATCAATAAAACATTTTAACATGTTTCAGTTCGACTCAGGTGATAAACTTGAACACCCAGTTAATGGGAATACTAATAAAGCGGGTCGATGCTAGAATGGTAGAGTGTAGCACGCATGTACATCGAATGATTATTTTGTTCACATAAATCACTTCTCTTTTCCGTTCATATTACATTATGGTCACTGCTACTTATCATAACCCTTCTAAGTTTTAAGAATATAGAGACTTTCGCATTATCACATATCATGTTACTCCTGCTCCATGAATGGCCTACTATGAGCCTACCACTTCTTTTAGAAGAGCATATACTTCAAACGCCTTGCACAAGATACGGCAAGGTATACGGTCGTCTCTCTTCAAGGCAACTCTATCTATCACACATTACTACCAGACCACTACATACTTCACCAACTTAATACCAACATACGGGAAGTTGAACTATTCCCTTAAGACTCACTCTTCACGAAATTCACCAAATCTCATAGATATCCAGCCACTAGAACACTCTGTCTCACATTATGAGACAAGTAATTTCACTTTTTAAATAACAAACGAGTTTAGACAATCACTTGGTTGGTAGCGCGCCATCGTTTCCCGCCAATGTTAGCACACCACAAACAAAAACAGCAATACAACAGTTATGAGCAATGTGGATAGAACATGAATCAAAAAGATGATCTCAAAGCTCAGAATGCTCTCAGTCTACAGCCTGCTTGTAAGCTTTGCCGATCTTCAATCCAAGATTCGTTATATAGAACGTTCAATTCTCGGCGTTTGCCATTACTCTCACATCCGACATGCCATGTCATAAGTATCACTGAACGGCTGCACCGACATACTCTTGATCGTGCTCAATCGCGGTGATTCGTAAAGGTAGGTATGTCTATAATCATCTTCAATACACAAAAAGCTTTGTTCTAATGGACCCTTTCCCGTCCCATCTCATCCCGTCTAGCCTTTTATTTAACCATCCAT